ATGCCTGTGTGTACTTTCCAAGTAGGCATGCCTACACTGACCCTTGTATCACTTGTCAGGAGACAGACAAAAGGCTCCACTTCTGCTGCTGTCAAAATCAGCAGTGGATTTGTCAGGGAACAGTACCCAGCCGTCAGCATGCAGAGCATCCCGAGAATGTCTTATTCCAAGCAGCACTGGCATTTTACTGCTCCTCCAGCCTGAGTACTGTTTGTCAGCAGCTAAAGCAAATGTTTGGAGACAAATGTAGACAGCACGACTGAGAGTCACGGTGGCCATTAATAACAAGCAAAGACACTGAATGATGGAAGCTGAAAATATTGCTTAAATATCTGGGTGGAGTGCTGTTTTCATCTGTTTACATCCAGCAAGTTTTGCTATATCCTGCTCTAGTGAGTCACTCAGAAATGTAAAAACAATTGAAAAAGCACTTATTTTACAATTTTTTCCCCTTTTAATGAGATGATGATAGATGTACCTGTCAAAAAGGAAAAAATAAAGATATGAATCTCATTTAAAGTGCTTTCAATTTTACTTTCATATCTTTGTTGGTCTTCAGAAGTATGACAGTTTGCTGAAACTCTCACTTAACAGATAGACAGGTTGATAGATCCATCTAAATAAAACATGATGTTAGGAGAGAAAAAACTCCACAGATTGGACTGAGTCCCAAAATATGAGTGATTAAATCTCCAAACAATCCTAGATGAAATGAGCACCATATCCTTTTGGTTATGCTTTTTAAGCAGAGACACCTGGTGGGACAGGGAGAGGGAGATCTAACTTGGGCTCAAACCAGAGAGAGGTGGTACCTCCCCAGAGAGGACTACTCTAGAAGCCTACACCCTAGGGCAGTTCAGCGCATGTCAGCGCTAAAGGAGGGGGTCTGTTGGGTAAGACCAAGGACAGAAGTCATCCCTGCTCCTTCACCACACACAAAGACACAACACTGACCGTAGGCACTACCAGCTGTGCAAGGCTCACACCTCCTGCATCCTGCAGCAAGGCATCCATCCTGCATCCCTGGTATCAGCACTGTGGTCCTTTTTCCACCTCTGTGGCTTCCTGTGCCAGGCGCATCTCTGTGATCTCTGACTGCAACCCATACACAGGATCACACAATGTTGCAGGAGATTTACCTTCAGGAGCCTATTCAAAAAAAGTATTTTCAGGTGGCACGTACTCAAGGTGAGACCCTCAGCTGCTCCTTGTCCTGGTACATGGGGTCTCCCAGGCTGGGATACAGAAAACTCAAAATGTTTGGAATTACATACTTTTCAAACTGCAACTCTGCTTAGAAAAGTGATGCTGAAGGGATGGAAATGCTGTTTGCGTTAAGGCAGTCACAACTCGTCTGTATGAAGTGTTCTGGAAAGTGGCTTCCCTGCTTCCCCTCCGACGGCCTGGTCTTGCCATTTCCTTCTCGCAACAGAGCAGCTGGACTAGTTACCAAAAAAACCCCCATAAAAACCCCAAAAGAAACAGAAGGAAGGCATTCTTTTCGGAGGCGGGTGGGTAAGTGCGTGCTCCCAGCGTTTTGTGTGAGCACACCCACGTCCACTGTGTGGAGTGTTTGGTTTGGACTGGTTGCCCAGAAATGGAAGATACTCTCTTTATAAAGTAAACGGTAGAAACACTTATTAAAAAACCATCATGGAACGGACCAGGATAATACTTCCAGCTTGCTGTGACACACATGCTGAGGGAGGTTAACTCTGACTTTGGATGACACAGAGACTGTTCAGGGAAGGTGGTGGGCTCAGCCACAATGTGAGCACGGCAGGCTCACCTTCCTGGAGACCAGCAGCACAAGGCCTTACATTTTTCTTTGCAGAGCCACCTCATCACCTGAAAGCTGGGTGATGCTGTTCCTCCTAACCCCTGACGCTGGGGGAGATGCTGGTGCTGCTGCTTCCCTCAGGAAAACAGCCGCCTTTCACCAACTGTGCCAGGTGACAGCCCGCATGGCACAACCTGGCACCCTCCTGGTTGCTCATCCCCTCTGCTGCCATGGATTAAGAGCTTGCTCAGTGAGTATCTGTGTGGCAGATGATCTTTAATAACTCAGAAGGGGCAGAGAAGAGTATACCAGAAACAACCATGGACAGAAACCCTGAGAAGTTACACGCCATATGGTGTTCTCAGGGCTATTTTCGCCTAGTATTTGCTGTTGGCAACAAATAAGAGCAAACATGGTTTCTTTTCACTCTGCGGACACAACCTGGTTGGGAACCTGATTCCTTGCAATTTCCTGGCCCTCTGTACCCTTACGGACCAACCTGATACTTCTGTCAATACAGATGTCCTGAAGGAAGGAGAGAAATACACATTCTGCTGTTTGAGTAGTGCTGGGGCATTTTCCCCTCAGGGGGTGCTCCTATAATGCTCTATACATGGAGAGAGTATGCAAGACATCTCTATAAATGAGAATAAGGCAGTGGAAGATGGGAGAAAGCACAAAAGCAACATGTTTAAATTCTCTGAAGGTAAAAGTAGGGGAGGGGGAAGGGAAGTAAAATTAAGAGAATCAGCATAGCGATTTTTAAAAATGCTTGGGTATAGTTAACCAGAAGATATGAGCAATGCTGAAAAACAGGAAGTAGATAAATATGTACAAGGATGAATAAGTACAAAATGCTGACCTTTGCTGTGGGCAACTACTAGCCCTAAACAGCAAAGTGCACTCAGAAAATCTATCAGAATGAAAACAGAAAGTATATCCCGAAAGTTACTAACAGAATGGAGTATAAATGCTATCATGCAAGGGAGAAGCACAAAAAAAAATAAAAATCCCTGAACAGAAACGTCCCTGAACAGAAATGTAATAGTATAAAGTAATATTATCTCTAAGTGCTCAACCACTATGTTTGTAAAATTATCAGAAACAGAGATGAGCTGAAACAAAACAAGACTATAAGGAAATCACAGAAGAGTACAAAGCAATGTAAGAAAAAAATATTGTCTGAAAGATCTTTGGCAACAGAGAATTTAGAGGAATAAAGAGCAACTCTGGGATAAGCATTTATAGGCATCACAAAAGGAAAATATCACATCTCATGTCACGGCACCAAAGAGGCACTGGAGGAGTTGTGGAAGTTCAATTGCAAAGATCCACCAGGTTCAGGTGACACAACAAGATTAGGCCTCTGGTAAAATACCAAATCAATTTATTACTGCTAAAATCTGCAACTGCAATGAAAAATGTGAGAATAAAAAAATAAAAATGTACTTAAAATTTCAAAAGAGCTTCTAAATAGAAACTTTCCAATGAGACTACTGAAGTCATGCTGCCCGCATGGGGGGAAGGATAAAAGCTCTCAGTGGATCAAAAGTTCGTGACAGATATAACATATTGGAAAAAAAAAAAAGGCAGTAAGTGGTTAGTCATTTCCAATATAGAATAGCATCCCACAGACCACTAAGAACATCAGTATCTGTCAAATGCACTGAAAAAATAAGAATTTGCACAGAACTATGCTGCTTTGCACTTTTAACTGTATGGAGAACTATGAGGACAAAAAAAAAACAAACAAGAAACTAAGCAACAAGACTGATTAATTGCACTGCAGCCAAATACAAGGCATTGACAGGAGCAGGACAAGATAGAATTTTTCCCAAAGGTGGCTATAAAATCACTAAATCTCTTCCTCAATGACTCATCCTGCATGTGGGCTCAGTCCTACATCAAGTAATTATCGTAACAACTGAAAAATTTGTTACTCACAACCCAACATTGGGGCAACTGGATTTATGCAAACAAATGTCAGAGGATTTTCAGTTTTAGAGGGATTAATGCAAACATCTTCCACAGCCATTTTTAAACCAAGAAAATATTAATCCCATATATTAAGTCACCAAACAAAAATTAAAAGGAAAGCTTTTTCTTCTTGACAAATATTTAAAGTAACATTGAAGTGGGAATGTTAATTTTTTTCAATAACAATAACATCAGAGTAACTAAATCACTTCTCTTGTTATAAACGTACATGTTCACGTGTGTGTGTTTGTGAAACTGGGGTGTTAATACTGAGTTTTACTACCACTTTTCCATATGTCTTTTCCAGAAGGGCACACAAAATTAGATGCACAATTACCTACATGCAGAAAACTGCAATTTCAGAGACACTTTTCAGGTCTCAGTGTCTAGATTTAGCTCAAATGGCTGCAAATTACAGTTCAGGTACAGTGGATTAGAACCCAGGCCATAAAGCTGATTAGTGTCCAAACAAAAGAGTCCAATCGTATCTGCAAATCCATGTCACACGGAGTCTATTAAAGCCCAACTGATCAGTAGCACTGAAGCATTTATATATTTTAAACAACGGCTATTTTCCTATGGCTAAAAAAAGAAAAGCAAATCAACTGACTTGCTTGGACAGGGCTGGGTTCACATGCTTTGCAAATTGAAAGAAGAGAGTGCAAATGCAGGTAAACAACTGGATCATGTTACCCAGACCACACTCTGCACTGGATGGTGAAAATGGGAAAAAAGAACAAGAAAGAAAAGATTCAGTCCTTTAACTCCTCCTTTTCTCCCAGGAAATAAACTTTCAGTTGAAGAGATCTGGGTTATACTAATGACAAAGATAAGATATTTTTCAACTTGGAAATAAACACGTAGGCAGTACATCAGCTCAGTAACATTTTCCTACTCCAGAAAGTATACATTTAAGACTAAAGAGATCTCATATGCAAAACTCAAGACCCCATGGGTAAATATGTACTCATTTAGTTTTACCTTTATCTCTGTTCTTCTCCTTTCCTAATGAGTCCAGTTTCTTTCTTAATGATTTCTTCCTCTTTTGTCCATCTGTAAGAGGAAAAAAAGAAAAAAAAAAAAAAAGGAAGTGAAGTGAAAGACTGCTGAACAAACCACTGAACAAGCTGTAGGAACACACAGTGAGATGGCCACGACACTTGGAGTCAGGAAGGCAGGGGGTACATTTCACATGTCACAGTCCTTCAGCCCTAAGAAGTACTGCTTTTTTCATACAAATACAGATGCTGTATTGGGGAACCAATGTATCCTACTGCATGGTGCTGGGCACATCTACACGTGCATGGTCACACAGCCCCTGTGGCAGAATGGAAAGATAATTTTGAAAACTTAACAATGGAGATTTGTTGCTGGATGCTCTTGATAGCAAGGTACCATAAACCTAAAGGTACCGGTTAGCCCTCATCTGTGGTCACAGAACTGTGATTCAGCTGTGGAGCTAAAGGTAGTATTGGGAGAGAGAGAATGACTAACCACCAGGATAAATTCTGCATACCAGTCATACCAGTTGGGTGACAGCTGACCACCTTCACAGGATCCATCTGATCTGAACTCACAGAGGGAGCTTGCAGTTTGGTACAGCATGTCCAAATTGGTTTAGGTGGATTAGAGTCTCAGAGAAATTATTGTTCTGAAACTCTATGTATCATCCAAGTTTTTGCTATGGTATTAAAGACCAAAGATTTTAAGCAACAGCGTGGGCAAGTTCATTCTTGAAACAATTATGTCAAAAGGTTGGCTATCATTATGTCCTTCAGCAGCATCTATTATAATGAAAAGTCAACAAAAGAGCATTATATTTATTCGGTCTCAACAAATACCAGGGATTAAGACATGAGCCTGCTTTAACTTGTACCTTTTCAATTTTTTCAGTTCCAAAGCAATATAAAGGGCCTAACACAGGGACTAATGATAATGCTAACATAGGCACCAGCCTAGCAAAAGGTCAATGAACATGGATCTTTGCCTTATTGGTTTTGTAATATGGCAAAAACTCAAAAATGAACACACCATATCTGTGTTTCGCTTTTATAGTAAGCACGTCACCAAATAATTCACCTCACTAAGCCAATGTCTTAAATGGCCTTTCACAGTAGGAAACATACCACAGAGGAGTCAAATGGACCTTCATTGATTAACTCTCATCTTTGCAATTAGGGGTCACAAGAGAACACAAGCCATTTCCCCATAGTTTTCCCTCAACTCCTATTGAAAGCCATGCCCAGAACATTACTCAACAGAAAGCTGGAGAAATTCTGACTTTTGCTAGGCAGTAAATATCCTTTTACTCTAAAATTGGCATCTCGTTTTACCATATGTAGCTGTGTTTTGGTCGACTCTGCTTGCACACTTGCACTCTGCATTTATTTAGAGCATATTTGCTCCCAGCACTCAGTTCCTGTTTCTTGAGATAGATTGCCATTTGCTGGTTATGTTAATTCCCTTTTTTCCACACCTGCTCTGGTGAGAATTCATCTCTCTGAAATAAGGCTGACTAGAATGGATAAGGTATTCTGGATGAGAGTCCAGCAATCCAATGGTGGCAATTCATTGCCTGATATGGTCTATGATTAGATTTTCCTTTTTCGTAGCCACATGACAAGTTCATAACTCAAAGTCATACTTTGATTAATATGCCCAGTCTTTTCCCAACTTCTGACATTTGCAGTTGACAAGACCAGAGTTTATTACAGAAATTCTTTCACCTCTTGGCAATATGAATAGTTGGTAGCCTGCTTACATACACCTGACAGTACTGCTTGTTTTTATTGGGTTCCCTACTACCGCTGTGTTGTGGTTTGATATATATAAAATTATTTTCAAAGTTACAAATTCAAATTACTTCTTTACAGTAACCTTTTGATAAATGACTCACATGTCTTTGGAGTCTTAGAGACTTATACTCCAAAGACCCATTTATTAATATTCTGGCATTCCACTGAAGTCTACTGAGACATAAAAATAAGAACAAAAGTTGAAACTGGATGTAAAATACAGTGTTTTACTATTGAAATTACACAACTGTAACTTCTGGAGTGTTTTAGTGCTGCACAATCAAATACAACAGAAATACAGGAAAAATGAATCTTATTCATTATTGAACACAGGAACAAATAGCGCTCATATCCACATGGAAAACAGGTCTAAACTATCAATGCTTTCTCATGAACCTTGTTCTTAATGGGAGATTCTTTCAACACAGTGAAGTAATTCCTCAGTAAATGACAGGCTGAGACAGCATTTGTGCATTTGTCTCTGCAAACCTTGAATTTTGGATACAAGTGATGCTCAGGCCCAATTAAATGTAAGGAACAGAAAGTAGTTCTGGAGATGGATGAACCAGAAAATACACAAAAGAATACTCTGTACACTCCTGAGCAAAGAAGGAGATTTCAGAGCAATAGAGGACAGACACCTTAGGCAAATGGGTGCAATTCCACTGAAGGCAGTGGGGCTACAACCATTTACAGTTTACCCCATGGCAGCAGAAAAAGAGTTGCATATGAAAATAATAGAGAGGAATCTCAGTGAAAAGCTAAAGCTTAGGAGACCTGCCAAGAGGTCAGTTCCAGTTCTCCTCCTCCCCTAGCAAAAAGATGTGATTAATTACAATCTATAATCTGTAAAAATAAATGTATTTTGAAATTATTTTTGATTTATTTACATCAGGCATGAACACTGCTAAAATATTCATAATGTGCCCAAGGACTTGTGCAACTCTAGCAGTTTTTCATCTTAAATGAACCCAATTAATAACAATAATAATAATAATAATAATGCTTAGTACTTATTATCTGCAGTGTGTTTTGAGAATATAATTAATATCCCAACCATTCTTGGGAAACAGGCAATGCATTATTACCCATGCATAACACCTACTGTACATTTTAAAATGAAATAGCAAATATTTATGCAAAATAGTATTATATCAGCCCAAAGTGCTATTAAATATGGCCTGCTATTCTCATTCGTGGTTTGGAAATGTTTAAACCACAAAGTGATAAACTCTATTGGGCTTTTATCCATGCTTTTGTATATATAATTATCACTTAATATCTCCTTTCTATAGGTCAACAATGTAGTGCTCCTCCAACAGATTCTACTCAAGAACATCATCAAGACAAGAGAAGTTCTCAAAAGACACCAACTGTCAAAGTGAAGGAAGCTGCATTTTTTTTTCTTCTGCTAATCCATTCTGTTTTTTTCTGAAGAACACCAGCCCAGGCAGCTGTCCAGACCAGTTGTTTCAAAATGAACTTGGTTTGTTCAACACTAATTTATACATTCATTGCATTTTTCACTGCAATGCACACATCACTCTCTGGGCATCTATATATTAAGACTAGTGTGATGAATATTTAAAAGATCAAGAGTCTAGAATCAAACTCTTGAGTGCACATTAAATTGCTACATGACCTGTTTTTCCACAGTGGTGAGCACTTCCAGGTTCAGTTAATGCCACAAAGCCTTTTCTATTTGAAAAATTAGGTCATCTTTTTAGGACTCTGTCAGTGAACAAAGACTGCAAAATACAACGGTATTTGCACTGGTACACTGACTTCGGACAAGAATTGAGCAGTTTGACTTCTGAGATCATTATTTTTAAAATTTTTGGGTTAAGGTCGGAATTCAACTGCAGGGTCATCATGAACACCAATTAATTAGCAGTTACACTCTCCAATCTCAGATTTTATATAGCCCATTTCAGGGCCTAAATTTCACTCTAAGTGAGACCATGGTTCTACAAACTAGGTAATAAGAAACCATTTTCACACTGAGGAGATATAAATTTCAGCTCTAAGTGCTAGAAAAAGGAAAGAAAGAAAAATTTTTTTAATGACATTGTTCTATTGCTTTGGACAAGACTACCTACCAACACCACATATGACTCACAGAGAGAATACTGTTTCTATTATTTACTTCCAGTACAGCTTTACTGATTTTAAAGTTATGGAACAAAACATCTGTTTGGTAGGTAAGGGTGTTGCTCAGCATAAGCAAAAGCATCACAAATGAGGTACAGGGAATTTTTTCAAGATGTTACAGTTGGTGGCACACCTGGAATTAACATTCAGAAACTCTTGACCTCCAGTTTCATATTATGTCACTTTATAGGCACTATATTGTGTAGCCCTAATCCTTTTTTTTTTCCAAAATTAATATAATATGCAGTAAAAAGCACCTGAGCTTTCTAAGTCATTTTTATGACACTATTACAGTGTTAGACTTCAGATCATGGCAAGTACCCTGGCAATAAGCTTAAAGTGAACCTGTAACAAAAGAAAGATTCTTCAGCACTTTCGTTCCTTATACATGGGTTTGTGGATTATCTATACAAATGGACATTCCTTTTATGTTACTCAGATGCAAGGACCCGCTTCTTTGTTAGTCAAACACATAATTATTAAATTCATACAGAGACTTTAAACTAATTTAACTCAGTGGGTTTTTGACAAAAACGACCTTCTGTTCCTTATGGGGTGACTGACTAAAGAGAACTCCCCTCCCCATCTACTGGCAACTTCCTTTGCATATGAGAATTGTGTTTCCTGTCCATTTAGGGAAGAAAAATTTGTCGTGTTCTACAATTAAGGGTTATTTTCACACAGTATAAAGAGAGGAGTTATCTGGGAGATGAATATCATACCAACAGCTCGTTGACCAAAACAGGAATGGATGAAAGTTGATATTGTGAGATTTCTAAAATACTTCTTCATAGTAGTATTCTATTCTAATTCATGGCCATTTTCCCTTAGTAAGCATCAGTAATTCAATCTAATTGCATTTAAAGAATAAAAAAATATAATGTATTTTCTAAAAGTGTAAACCATTCTGTCTCGAAAATTACTACCAATGGCACCATGAAGCGTGCAGTCTGACCTCTCTTGAGGTCTTCTCGGTTCACTTCACTCACCAAGAGTGACTCGTTTCCAAAGTGCCAGCCTCCTGTACTCAGCCTGTGAGCCAAATGTCAAGCTGCAGTATCTCTTGTCTTTGCAGTACTTGAAGTAACAGAGACTCTGCAACCCGAA